CAAGCATAGGGTGCTCGTGCAACCCTTGACTTTGCCATGGCCCTGATGATAAGGTTCCCCGGAGTATCTCACTTAACCGGGTGCTATTTATTTGCGTAATTAACTAATTTTATTTGGTTGGTAATTTTGCCCTTTCTGTTTACACAAGTTATTTAGCTGTCGGTTAGCCCGATCACGATGTCACCTGATTAAATCGATTCGAGCATCAAATGAACATACTACAACTGTTCAAATCGTCCCATCTGTCCTCATTGTTACTTGCACCAGTTTACTAATGCATTTTACAGTCCTGTAGTTGTATTTGCTTGATGTGATCTGCCGAAAAGAGATCTCTTTGCAAAACTGTGTTTTAATTGTAGGTTGGTCAGACGTTGAATAATATATAATAATACCAGTGCTTCGCCGGTAGGTGCCCGACTAGTATAAGGCGTCCACTTTGTACGCCGGATGTCACCAGTTTGGGGCAGCATAGCTGCACGCGACTTGCAGTCCTCGCGCGACTGGTGGTGGCCGCGTGACAATGAGGCTTCGGTACGGCACATGGGCTTTTGCAGCATTTCTTAAGACCAACTACCAACGCAGATACCATTGGATCGTTAATGGCCAAAATGCTGTTTAGCACTGAAGTTACGGACAAATCCGCTACGCTTAGTCAACCATCTACTAATCGCTTTGCAAACGAGCTTTTGCTACAATGTTACCCTGCACGTGGGTCACACTGCGGAATCGCGATTTATCGATACAATGGTGGATGCTGCAGGTCATAATATTTCCCCCCACTAAGAACGGTGCTTACTGCTCGTTTAAAACCATAGTGCTTGTGTGGAAAGTTTGTTAAATCACTAGGGTCGGCTGCCACCCAACGACTACCGTGGGTACCGAAAGCGTTCAACCACACCTCATACCGTCTTAAGTGATGGTTGGCGCCGGAAACCACCTCTTAGTTTGTACAAACTAGCAGTGGCACAAAAAGCAAACAGTAAATGAGTGTTCTCCCTACCGCCTGTCTTCTTAATGCCCCGTGAAGCGGCCGTGTGTCACTTCGCAAAAGTACCGTTTGGATCAGTGGTGCTAGTTTCCCAACAGTGTCGAGGTTATTCATCTGAGGGTAGGTGCCTTCTCCGTTGCCGAAACCAGAGAACAGATTAACAATAACGCATCCACACAAACGCTTGTGCTGGCTTTCATGTTCCGACACTGTGGAAGACAGTGGCTAAGCTTGAAATAGGATTTTGTTAGTTATGTGCCAAGGCGCGTCTCTTCCGTGATCCGCTGGTGCGCACCAAAAGGCAGAACAATTGGAGTAGAGGATCGCATGGCCCATCAGGTCGAACAGCATGCTCACTGTTCGTAAATCCTCAGTGGTAAAAATTCGATTGGAGGCAGCCATAATGAATTTCATGAGGAATAATAAGAGAGTGTGCCATCATAGTGGTAATCAATCAGACAGCCATCACGCATCCGAAAAAGAGCCGGATTACCGTTTACTCTGCTTCTGATTTCGTTTGGTCATGGACTGCAACCCACACCCATCGCATTTCGAGAATGCGATTAATATCAGTGGGTCATTGGAAATGCCGGTATCTAACGGGGCCGATTAGCAAGTGCCGCTGACACGCGGATCTCTGAGAACTGCGCTGGACCCCAGAGCTACTTATCTCACCAAATATCGAATGGTATTCTACACTAATTTTGGAAGTTAGGATGAGTATCAAAGGAAATTCGTCCCAGCCGTACTTCTTTAAGCAGACAGTACACACCCATCAAAAAAACCGGACAACCGTTTCATTTGCTCGAAACCGATTGACAGTTTGCATTTCACCTGCCCGGTACGGAGCGAGAATCGGTGGTCTTTCGCTTTCGTTTCGAAGATGACGGTAAGCACCATGGCTAAGTACAACACGACGATACAGTGTGACTCGGTTTTCATTACCATGAATATTTTCAACATGAGGACAGGGCTGCGGCTGCTTGGTTGAGTGCTATTGCAACTGAAGGAGCTAGGAACTCAGTACAACTTGTCAAAAGACCTCACAATGATTATCACATTCCATCAATCTCCATCCCTGCTAGAGAGTTGCCGATTTGTCATGGGTAGAAGTCTAAATGTTAAACGAAAACGCTCCGGAAGCCTCCCAACACTCTCGAATCGATGTGGAATTTGATGAAAACGAAGCCATTCTAAGGGAAGTGGATAACCTATTTTTGTGGCTTGCTCTAACCTCAACCCACAATGACCAGTTTCGCCCTTCTTCGAACCGTTAGGGTACGGGGGGGGGGCGAAGTTGGAATACGAACACAAATCGCAGTGCTTGTCACATCAGCGAGTTACAATAGACAGCAATAAGTTGTTGATCAAGTTAATGTTGTCAGTCGCAAACCAAACCTGACACTAAAACTCAAGAGTGAATTGTTGGCTGTTGTGGTAAGCGTTGGTGACGTAGTTTGGCGCGGAAGTGATGAATGCGGCCTAATCGTAATGGATACGTCCTAGATTCACCCCCTAGTTCGCATTTCTCCATGTGATGTGTACAGCAAAAAAAGCAATTCGGTTGTGAAGTGCTTTGAGTGCCTGAGAAGATACGTACCTATCATTTAGCTACTTCGGAGGCGACAATGATGGACGCAGTATCCGTAACTGCTCAAAGTAAGTCACCAAACACAATGTATTATATGTCGGAATCCATACTTGTGTCTTTCGTAAGACCAACAGCGGTTCGAAAGGCAGTCAATACACATGTTTAAACACCTAATCCCTCACTATTGTCAGAGACGAAATAGTATGGTTGCACAGTAGTCAAAGTTTTCTCAGTGCGGAAAGTCGTTGTCCAAGAGAGCATTTTTGCCGCCTGTGCAGTACCAGGACATGTGAGACAGTGAGGGACGAGTGCGTCACCACGATATTGCTGAGTAGTAGTATCATGGGTGTGCTCTCGAGCTCTTCTTCGAGTAGAGGCTTAAAAGGATAAAACCACCGTTCGATGTATTCCCAACCAATTAATGGTTCTTGGACAGAATCTAATAGTGATCGGATGCACTTAAACTCAATTTCAACAAACAGGTGAGAGACATTGTAAGAACGCATCCAATGTAGCCTAGTTGTCTGTTGAATCGGCATGAACCAGCAGTAGCAACCGTAGAATTGTAAATATTTTGAGCACAAACTCGCAGAATGGCGAGAAGCTACGACAAGACTTTTACGGGGTGCAAACAACGAATCTACACAAACGAGTACGAAGTGTCGCCTTCACATCTGCTCACTGTGAACGCTAAACCTGAACGTTAGATAACCACATAGCCCAACAGATGACCGCTTTAGCCCGAAGCCAGTTCGTTCGGGGATTGGAAGGAACAGGTCTACGAGCCAAGGGATAACATCATACACCTCTTAGTTCTGCTTAAACTAACCCGTTGGAATACGCTAGCCAACCGCAATCAAGCATGGAAACACTGCCGGACCCGTACGTTCACAAGTGAGCAATTACGTTGCTCCCTTGAAGTGCTGCAATTATGTCGTTAACAAAGGAAGGAGTAGACTTGATGCCGTGGGATTCGGCATTATGCGACCAACAGGACCAAGTAAGTTCCGCACTTCATTTTATCATCATCATTCACTATACACGTTAGCTAAAGGTGGGAAGCACCTCGGCTACTGTGCCGCACTTCATTTTACACATATTATTATTATTCATTATTATTAGTATTATCAGTGACAATGGGTAGAAGTCATATATGATACGATGCAACCTTCCAAAACTCGCCGTCCGTTTGTGAAACGGTGCCAAGTCCCATCATCGTTACCTTCGCAGTTTACTTCATGTCTGGTGGAAGCCCTGCGTGAGCAATGAGCGTGTTCGGCGTCGCGTATTTGGTGCAGGAAGAGCGAGTGAACCACTCAGCACCATTACATCACAAACCAGGCTCCGATGGCTGTGCCACGTGTTGTGCATGCCAGTACACCGACTCCCGCGACGTGCATTGTTTGCGCGCCGGGGGTGCGGTTGGAAGAGGAGCAGGGGAGGCCAAGCGATGACGGTCGAGAGAAATGAAAACCCTCACTTGAAGTTGGCGTCGGTTGGTGTATCCCGACTGCCTGGCTGGGGTCGTAAGGACGATAAACACGTTTGGTTGGACACACTTGCTGATATGGCTAAGAGCCGGCCCCAATAGCGTTTGTGTTGTGAGTTCCTTCGTCCGTCCCCCTCCGTTTAGGTTCCTCCTCCAATCCCGCTCTACTACAAAACGCACAATGCAATAGTTAGTAGCATATCTTTTGTAGTGTAATTTGTGTAATTTGCAGCGTAATTTTTTAGTCTCTTCTTACATTGCGGCACACTAGCTGAGGTGTGTTTCTCACCCACAGCTAACATGTACTGATGATGATTATGCCAAATCCGGTTGCCAGGAATGGACATCCTTAAGGATTTATTCCCTTGCATTAGCTCGCCTTTTGGCGCTTTAAGGCGCACGGAAACCCTACCTACGCATTGATCATGAGAAGGATTGCCCGTACTCAATGGAGATGGATACGAAAAGTCAGTACGCGGTTACACTTAAGCAGATCACCTTGTATCCATAGTTCAGCTACATTCGGTACTCTATCCGATAACTGTACCGACTAGTCAATCACTTGGAGAGCGAAAGGATCAAACTCTTACCCCTCACTAAACAAATGCGTGGGGCATGTCGTTTCTCTATTTCCCACCACGCCAAACACTCCGCAATTGCTGACTAGAGAGAAGACAAACACTATCACTGCTTAATTACCCTGCCATCATCCGACTATTACGGGGATCTCGTAATCGAACATTTGCATGGAATTATGAACATGTTGCACACTAAATTCACTTTTAAAAGTTCAATAGGGAGCTCAGGAAAATAAAAATCGATCCTTGAATTAAACACAAAGGTCAGCTAAAGCAAATTCCTAGGGAAAACCAAAAGCACATGGCAGTTCAAAGGGGGATACACCGTGGCTAAGTCTCACGTCGATCATGACCCTAGGTGTCTGTGTGCATATGAAGGCTTGAAAACTCACGAACACACGTGGGGCAGCAAGCGCCTGGTTCAACCAGTTGTCCTTCGTCGGCCCCGCAAAATAGCTCTGGACACTGTGGAGGAGCGCAGGTCACGCTGCCGGTTGCTCCATCACATTTGCATCTAACACACGGGAGGGACCCCAGGTCGATTTCCTCGTCAGGGCCCAACAAACGACCATCGTCCATTCGACATGAGCCTATGCAAAAGCGAATAAACGTGATATATTAAGCTAGGAAAACAGAACTGTGTGGAACTAACTAGTAAAAAAGCGGGACATAAGTCTTAACTTTCTGATGAATCTTTGGTAATCAGCTTAGGCAGAAATTCTATGTGCCCAAATGAACAGTCAGTGCAATTTCTTGTGGACAATCCTACGCATGCATTATTTACCCTCCTGTAACGCAATTTCTTCCATTAGCGTAACCTACGGATAATACAAGGTCTTTTGCCGGATGCTATTGAGAAAAACAACATCACGATGAACAGAGGAGTTTCTTGAGGACTACCACAAAAGATAGATTAGGTGAGAGTACGCGTGCAGTATGGAATTCGTTACAGCCGCTGCGGCGTGTACCACTGGACCGTTCGGTACACGGCCCGATGGTGAGAATGACGCACCGGTCAGCGTGTGAAGAGCAGTCGATCAGATACGCATGTGCGCAAACACGAGTATGAAAATTTTAATCTGATAATTACAAATTGACTTACGTTGGCTGGATACCGAAAGAGGGCCCAGAGACACTGAAGCAAGAATTAAGTAAACGATAATTTCCATGAGGCTGCGACATGATATGAGAAGTGGGATCATGCGGACCGGAAGCATTGGTGTTTCACACCCCAAGTTGCGTTCGGATGGGCGACTCGCTAGAGGTCACCGCCAGGCCTCCTTACAGGACACAGGCCCAGCCGAGTCCCAGCGCTTGTGATGGATTTAATGTGCGCGTGCGCTCATGTACGGACGCCATTGCACGAACGCACTGCTCGAGCTACCAATCGCGAGTGTCGTTCTGTCCAGCTGAGCCGCTAGGGGGCTGCACTAGTGTGCCCAATTCGATCGACTCCGGACACTAGCCAATAAGCTTTCATCACCGGAGCGCAGCGCCTCACCCTCAGAGTGGCACGAACAGGTGATCGAATGGTGTCGGCCAAGCGGACAGCCGTGTGGTGCGGTAGCTGGCGCGCGATCCTTCGCCGGAATCAGTATCGACACATTCGCAACGCTCCTAATTACCCGTCTGATCGATCGGTTTGTGAACACCGAGCCGGCGTCTTCACTTATCCCTGTTGGATGCGCCGCCGTCCCAGGGTGGTGGAGGTGGGCTAGAAAATGGCAGCCGTTTGGCACAGGAACATTGACCTCTACCAGCCGGTCCGGTACGCTTCGTTTCAGTGACTGTGTGTAACAACCTCTCGGCTACGTTAATGGTTCCAACATTGTTTTTTGTCGTGAAAGCTACAAATGTATGGTCGTCAATTTGAATGTCTGGAAATTGGGATGCACATCGAGTGCCACTGGAAATCACATTGTAACGCACGAGTATACACAATTTTATCGATGGTGGTATACGGCAGTCTTGAAAAGTGGCAGCAAAAATGCTAATTTCGACGAACATGCTGTCAACTGATTATTCTCAGAATTGTACCATAGTCAACGCACTTACGGTTTGGCCAAAAATGTGTAGACTGTATGAAACCGGTAGCACTGTATCCGAATGCCGGTGCATCCGATTTCATTCTTACGTTAAGCCCGTCCAGTTAATAAAAGACCATTCAAGGGGAACTTAATGTCCGCAAAAGCTCCTCCTCATCACCTATCGACAGACACAACCAGCTATTTTTGGCCTAGAACTAATTTGGCAATTCGTACCCGTCTGGAATACTATGTGAAAAATAATGTGTCAGCTGTACGCAGCAACGGCGCTTCACTGCAGCGCGACCATCACCAGTCGCGCGTGGGCTGAGTATACAGAGAGGACGCCCGCCCTAGACGGATTCAAACCGGCGACCTTACGAGTGCAAGCCAGGCGTGCAGACCACTCGGACGCCGGCCGACCCGGAACACTATGAGCTAATGAACTTTCATTGTGTAAACAATCACTGACTAATGTAAACTTGTGAGCAGCAGGATTTTAGTTGTAATTTTGTTGAGGTATTCATCCCAGTAGTTCACAAGCTACATAGCACAGTCTAATCCGGAAAAGCACCAGACGCGTTTCGCCCTATTGGAGCTCGTCAGTGGTGCGCATTTCCTCGATCTCCTACTGGGGATCGAACCCATGACTGTTAGAGGCGGATGCCAAGTAGCTAGCGGCTTAAGCCACTGAGCCTCAATAGGGCGAAACGCGCCTGGTGCTTTTCCGGACTAGATTGTGCTATGTAGCTTGTGAACTACTGGGATGAATAAGATAACATAAGTTAACCACGTTCACTTGCATCAGTACGGTGATCCTTTGCATAAGCACCATGATAGCGACAGTAACGCGGCCTTTTGCTGAAAGCCTACTATGTTGCCCTCTCGAAACCTTGTGTAGAAGAATTCCGAATGCCTTATCCAGTGATGCCTTCATCCTGCTCAATGATCCGCCATGTACCCAGCTTTCACTTGTCCCGAACGCTTTGTTTCTCTGGCTCAATGCATTTTCGGTTTCCGATCATAGATTAATTACGTTTATCTTGCACATTAAGTGTTGATCAAGTACATTCAATCAAACTTTTGACCTACTTTTCTTACTTCGAGACAAACCCCACTATCGTTACGCATAGTAACGCCCGAAGTGTTATCGGTGCACCATAATGTTCAATTTATCCAGTGTGCCCAAATGTTACCTCGCACCCATGTGACCTGACAATATTGCAATGCTGTTGTGAGTGGAAGTCACACATTGAAACCATTTGGTTCGATCGGCCTACTGTTTTGTTCCCCCTTGTGTAGATTTGACACAAAATACCATCACTGTGTGTAATCTACTGGTCCTCACACCTACGGCTCATGGTAGCCTCCTCTCTTTCGGATTGGTCTTGTATAAGCCCGTTTCAAGTCCCAATGCACTGAGACAAGTTCATTCCTACTTGCGTGCGGGCTCATGCTTCGTTGCACTGTTCAGGTAGAGTTGCCAGAAGGGCGACTCAACACCCGGGTCGTAGAGACTTTTGAGTCCACCGCCACCGCCAACCGGCCTAGCTACGGACTAACCTTGTCACACAGGTCAAGGACCTCTTGTGCGTTTATTTGCGGCATCCGATGTGTGAAAACGTAACAGCAATGTGAATTAAAGAGGCAATCTACTGCAGGAAAGCAGAAAACCACCAGACAACGTCCCAGCCTTTTATACTACGTGCCCAAATTGACCTGAGGTAAGTTTTAGTATTAACATTCCCAAGGTGGCACCAAGCGGGGAAGCGGTTCGTGTAGATCTGGTGTGTAATTATGAGATCACCGACAGACGCTGATGCTGTCCTATGTTCTCTCCCAGATATATCATTCCAATTTGAGCAGTAACCAGAACCAAGTGGAGTCTGTAATGCGGTAAGATCCTGCTTCAAATAAAGCTCATGCAGCTGGACCGCGTATTCCACACAGAACGTCATGTAGACGCAATAAAATTTGCTCTCTACGCTAAGTGTAGCCATCTGTCCCCTTAGAACTATGACGAAAATGGAGGATATGATAACTTGCTTCCCCACTGCAGTTGGGCTAAAGCAATTTACGCTTAAACTAGTTCTTTTTAAGCTGGATACATTTCATTCCACTTTATTTGGTTTGTTCTGCATACCTGAATAATCTTCTATTAACTAGCCACACAGGTTATGCTAATAGCGCTTATCTTCAGTAACTTTAATATGTTTGTACTATCTTTTGAGTAACTTCTGGGCATTTTGTACTTATCGCGGATCCCTTGCTAACCAACTTCCTTCATATACTAATTTAGGGGAGAGTTACGTCCGCAAAGCCGTATTCTTTGACAGATATACCTTTTAGTTCATAAGGTCAATTCAAGTGATTGCATATTGTTTGACATCCCCGCTGTGACTGCTCTTGATGTGCATGTTGACAAGGTGCCTACCTGTATGTACGTTGTATTCGATTGATTAACCGCCTGCTTGCATGCTAAGTCTCTTTATTTTAGGTGGTGGGTTTACTATACTGCCCTAATGCTACTTTTTACATATTTATGTTCGCCTGAGGTAGTGGGTAATAGACAGGTAGGCACCTTGTCAACATGCACATCAAGTGCAGCAACACCGGGATATCAAGTTAATAGAGACGTAAGCGGAGCTAAAGTTGGGTATCGACTGAGAATTGATCCGCCAGCAATTACCAGTCCGCGTAAAACGAATCGAACTATACCGTCAATATGATAAACCCCGGGGAGTGGAACTCACTCACACTGGCTGAAAACCGGAGGCACAAAAATGAGCGATCTTCACCTATAAATACAGTTAACCTATG